TGACATTATGCACACTGGGATGCGTGTAGGTACATTTGGTGTTCTCGGAATACAAGATCCAAACCTGACACAAAAGGTTCTCAACAATATTGTCTCAACAATAACTTACTCGAATTATTATTATTACATAATTTGTATGTAAAAATGGACAAAATGTTTACAGTAACATTTGAAGTGGATCAAAACCTTTCATCTAAGTTGTACATGAATTTTGAACAATACCCGTTCTTGTTTTAGGACAACTTTGATTAACTTTTTTGATCCACTTTTTGACTACTGTATTTCAAAATACTATGTCATTGTATGCAACAAGAAAAGGATATTATTAATAATATTAATACAATCTTAAAAATTAATTAATAATTTTAAGTCGTATAATAAATACTAAAATAGTTTTTTGTAAGAATACATCTAAAGCGGTATATAATGAATTACCAAATGTGCATATGTTGGGGGCAACTTCTAATACGAGATACATAGCTGAAAATATTGTAATAATCAGTGTTATCATTAACTATTACCTATAATTTTCTGTAATTGAAATAAAGCTGAAATAAAATAACAAATATTAGCTAAAAACTTTTTTTTAAAAACAAATGAAAATTAGAAATGTTGCGGTGTGTGCTAACTTTAATAAATAAGTTGAAGTTGAAGTACTTAAATTTTGGAAACTAAAACTGAAATAAATATTAACCAAAATAGATTCATTTAAAACAAAATATTCTATATTTATATTCTATATTTAAAAGATAAAATTCAAAAACTTTTTAGACTAAAAATAAAATGAAATAAAAAATATAAGCCGTTTGAAAATATTATTAAATACTATAACATAAAAAAACACACACATTTTTACCCTTTTAACCTCACCTTAAGGATCAAAAATTACCTTTGAGGTCTCCAACACCATCAGCATTTGAATCTTTGAATGATCGAGGATAAACCTGATAGACCGGAGTCAGCTGCCACCAGCTCATGCATCGAGGCGACAGCGCCACGATCGTAATGGTCATGGCAATCAGAGCCAGGGTGCATGCGATGATCAGCCAGAAAAGAAGCTCTCGAGGGATCCTGTAGCAGGCTTTACTGGAGTATAGCATCAGGACCTCTTTGGGCATCCCAGCATACGGTTTGATCTGAGTGTACACGTTTTCCTCCGGCCTGGTGAAGGAGAAGCTGGTGGCCTGGTGCTCTCGAGAGCTTGATGCCTCAGATGGATCATCATCGTCCTCTTGAAAGGCTGCATTCTGGGAGCCTTCTTGCAGCTCCACCGTGTCGATGTTTGTGATTTTGGTCAAGCTCATCGTTCTTGCTTCATTCAATTACCAGAGCACAGGAACAACGCTTGTGAGAGCCGATACAGCCAAAGAGTCCTGTTAAATAGAGGCATTCACAAGTCCATAGTGCATTACACTGATTCAGTCTCCATCGCTCTCTCACACAATAAAACCCCTCCCAGAGGAATGTGGCAGAGATTAGCAAGGCCAATCACACATTTCCTTGGCTACAAATTATTGAAAAGTCAATGTAACTTATGGCATCAGAACAACCCTTTAGTTTTTCAGCTGACAGATTTTCCCTGAAATCAGATCTCTACAGAAGGAACAAAATGTCCAACTTGTAAATTAGTTAACTAGATTGTAAACTGCAAGCTTGATTACATCATTTTCATGATGTTTATGCATACGGTCAAGGCCTAATTATAATAATATTAAAAAAAATTGTGCAGAATAATCAAATAATCTACCAAAAAAAAAAAAAAAAGATTTTTGATGAATGCATATTAAAAAAGCAGTTAATAATGTATTGCCTAATTTGCATCTGTTTTGGGGCAAATTCAAATACAAAATACATTTTTTTTAAATTATAATAATCATATTAGTGTTATTAACGAAAACTAAATATATTTTTAAATGTTTTCAGTGATTGAAAAAGCTGAAATAAGATGAAAAATTAGATGAAAAACTTAGTAACTAGTAATATTGCCTTAATAACTAAGAAACAAGTTTAAGTATTAAAATGACTAAAAATGAAGCATAAAAAAGCTAAATATAATATTTTTAAAAACATTAACAAAAACTGAAAATATAAAAAAAGCTAAAATATGAATAGTATATGAATAATACTTAACACCAGTAATAATGAGAATAAGAAGAGCTTTTTCACCATTTGAAACATTGTCTGGCAAACTTTTACCTTATAGACAATGCTGTAGTTTCTCAGCCGACAGATTTTCCCTGAAATCAGATCTCTTTAAGAATTAACAACATAACAATCCTGTGCAACTTATGTTAACTAGTTAACTATTAGATTGTAAACTGCAACTTATTTATTTGATTATATAATTGTATTGATGTTTATGCAGACTATATCAAGGCCTGATCATACCCAGATAAATATTCGGTGAGATACTTTGAATAGTAATATTGAACATTTGAATAAACAGATGTTAATGCTTACGGAAAGGTTCTAATCTTTTTTCTACTGCACTGCTAAGAAAACTGGCCTAGCAAAAAGATTTGCGCTTTTGGTCACAAACCCAGAGCAACTGGGCAAATCAACAACTTGGTGGTGTTCACAAACAGATATTTTGCCAAGCAACAACGAATAGCAGCGGAAACGGCTCTCTTGTATTTGATTTTGTTTGATAAATACCATAGTGCTGCAGGGATGGTGTATTTTTGTAGGCCAAATCCCAGAAACCAGCTAGCATTTTAGCACTTCCGGTTCTATCATCCCGAAGCCATTGGTTTTTTTGGTAAAAGACTGAAATAAGGTCTGTGGTTAACACAAGCTCAATATGTGTTCATGTTTTATACTATAAAATACATCAATTACAACCTCTTTTTTTAAACTGGTTTTGAAAAAGGTGGTTGCTAACATTAAATGTCATCCCACTGAACAGATAAACTAGCCCGCTTTCATTGCCTTATTTTGTTTATGATCACACTCTTGCAAACTATTCTAACTTCTAACTATTCAAAGAGTTAGTGATGGCGATGCTGAAGTCATGTGTTCATGGTGTAGTTGGTTTATAGCCTATGTTTAGCTTATTACTTCTGGCAATTCTATTTTGGCTTCAAAATGAATAACAGTTGTTCATTTGAGAAGATTTTCAAGGACCGGCTTCTCTATAAGCGCCATCTACTGTCAGACAGTGATTTTGCATGTTAATTCAGCCCATGTGCCTTTTTTTACACATTGGTCTGAACAGACAAACTGCATGTAAAAGTCAGACCGCATGCTGAACATTTGTGTTGGTGTGCATGGGCCTTTACTTTTCAACTACTACACAATTCATTCAGTGTTACAGGTATAGCAGAACTTTTTTGATCAAAATAAAACACCAATAAAAAATAAATAAAAACTTGTTCTGCAATATTTAAAACAGGCTTTCATGAAACCCTAGCATAGCACTCATTATTAGCAATGCATCATTAGCCTCGGCCTCAGCTGGCATGGCCACATACCGACCACAGTCTGCTCGCTCAACATCTGATGCACAATATATACACATTTTTTTCAATCTGATAAGCTCCGACACACTTTTTTTCTTTTTTTTTTTAGATCGCCTGGTAAAGTTGATACAATGAGTGAACACTAGATTTACTAAAATACATCAAATCTTTGAAATATGCTCAGGTTTGTTTGCGGCACCTAGTATTATCTTGATCAACACTATATTCAGCTTTGTTCAAATAGAACTCAGAATTACAATCACAACATCTATACACATTTTCCATTTTTGTTTGTTTTATGGACAACTTTTACTGAGAACATCATTATTTTAAATAATTTCTTACCATGCCAGTCTATTATTGCGCTATTGAACGCTAAAGCACACACAAAAACTAAGCAACCTGCAGTTGGTTGCTTTACAAGCTGGTCTCTTGGAACATGGAACTACTGCTCACTGTTATGCAAAGTTAAAAGACTCAAAAAGTGTTGTGTCTTAGCCAATAGGCCTTTCCCACTGTGTTATTAAACAGAAGGAGCAAGACTGCTTTTCCTGTAGCTTTATTGTTCTGCTCAATATCACCTTTCAAGTTCTGAGGCCAATGAGAATTGTTGTCCATGGACTGCTGAAAACATTTTTGAGCAAAACCGACATTACACTCGTATGGTGAATCAGAAAATAATCAGTGAATTCATCACAAAGCTATTTTTTTCATGTTCATCTAACCAAAAAAAAAAAAAAAAACACCACTTTACAATATACTCTGAAGGAAAAAGGAAGAAAAAAGGCAGGTTGCTGTAAGTTCACATCTGCATTCGAAAGTGAGGGATAATAAGGAGAAAAGACAGATATAATACAAAGGGAGAGCTGAGAAAAGCTGCGTGGCTTTGGTGGGCAGTTGCAATCCCTTTTATCCAACATCACCCACAATTCCTGGGTTAAACAAGTACATGAACAAACTCAGTGTGTCTATTTCACACAACGTGGCACGCTCATCAGTCGCCATTAACATTACTCTATTGCTTCACACAATAAGCGACAAAGACGTCAAATTTGGGAAAAATAAAAAATATATATGAATTTTATATATTTATCTCTATATATTCTATTCTCTCTGAAACAGCAGGATTAAAAAGCTTTTTACAACCAATCAAATGATAACCTGCCAAACGAAGCAGAGTCAAGTCCGAGGTTCTACCTAAAAGTCAGTCAGCACTCACGAAGGGGGGGGGGGGGGTGCAAAAAACCAACAAGCTTCAATCCTTTCCACGCAGGTTATGTAGTAATGAAGCAATTCTTTAAAATATGTTCCACACACATTCATCAGTCAAATATATCCTCAATTAAACCCAGTGATGATCCATAACCCCATACCAGGGGCTGCCAAGTTTATCAATTGCATCCTCACTCGAATTTGCAGCCGACTGGAAAAGGCACCACAGCACGTACATGGGTCCATCCCGCAAAACATCCTCGGTTTTAAAATTAACACCCACAGCCACCACAAAAAAAAGTGAGAAAGTGAGTTTTTTTTATTGTATGTGTATTTTGATGTAGTTGTTTTTAAAACTGGAACATTCTTTCCCTCATGTATTAGAAAAAAAAGTGTTTGTAATGCTTTTGGTTGTACTGTGTTTCCACTGTGTTGTGACTCTTGAAAGACTGTCCGTTGAATCTCTTGATTTCACTGGAACAAAAGAAACGTGACTGATGTCTTGTGTAGAAAAGGGGCTCCTCCCTCAGGTGGGACGACTACCACGGGTCCTCAAGGTCAGCACCGCTCTGCAGAGAGAGAGACCACACAGGCATCAAATCAGCATTATCACAATCACCGTGGTCAACCGTGGTCAAGACCTGCCATCTTTTGCTATGAAAAACATTTACTTAAGTAACGAGAAAGGCTACATCACAATACCAAATCTAATACAGGAAGTATGAAGGAAGAGTGTAACCACCAAATGTAACGTGATTGTATTATTGTTTCAAGGGTTACAATTATCCCAAATATTATATACTGTACACTACCGTTCAAAGAGTTTTGTTTGAAAATAAATAAACAGTTACCTAACATACGCTTTTGCTGAATAAAATGAACTTTTATTCAGCAAATCAGCATGTTAGAATGACTTCTGAAGGATCATGTGACACTGAAGACTGGAGTAATGATGCTGAAAATTCAGCTTTGCCAGCACAGGAATAAAAATTACATTTTAAAATATATTCAAATAGAAAACTTATTTTAAATGGTAAGTTTACAATATTTTATTTTTGATCAATTAAATGCAGCCTTGGTGAGACTTCTTTCCAAAACATTAATAAAAACTTACTGACCCCAAACTGTTGAACAATAGTGTACACCTCAACATTACTGAACAGTTACCTAACATAAGCTTTCAGCTGAGAAAAAATATCAAAAGTCTAACTTAGACCTACAGTATGATTATATAAAAGTGGCTAAATGCTAAATACTAAAATATATACACTAAATGTATCAGCCTGTATGAACAAATATTCAGCACATGCTCAAAGTTCTCAATTGAGTATATGTGCATGTGTTTATCAATTCTTAAACTTTAAACTAGTTTAATGAAATAATGTTCATTACACAATAATTCAATTTCAAAATTGCCCACAGTCTCCCATATTTCACTTCAGCTAACCATTACTGTGATTACCGAACCTTGAAACTAGAATTGTCATGTTCTTGTTTCTTTGTCTAATATGTCTATGACTGTGTTGTCCAAGGCAAAAAACATTGTTTGGATTCAGAAAATAAAAAATATTGGGATAATCAGATCCTGCCGTTTTGATTTGATGTTTCTTGATGGAGATCTCCAATTGGCCATTTTACAAGGGTTTGGATCAATTTTTCCACAGTTTCAGTTTTGCACATGCATCCTTTTCTCTGTTTTATTCCTTTAGTGAATAATATTTCTGTTCTCTAATAGGATTACTTTTCAAGAACACATCTAGTTAGAACATTTCATGCCACAGATCATACAAGTGCAGGACTTCAAATGAAATCCAAGCTAAACAGGTCCTCTGCATTCATTTACAAGAACACTGTTGCTTGGTAATGTAAAACAAAGAAGTGAATTATCTACATGGCTTGAATGTTTAACAGGTAATATAGCACTACTTTGACAGTTTGGTCTCACTGCAAACTGCATAAAACTAACAGATAACAGCAAACCAGCAATAAAAAAAAAGGAAAATTCCCTCCTCAAACAGCAATGCATTCATAAGATCAGTACATAATATGGTGTGTAGAGTGAGGTTGTCAAAAACTCCAGTCGCTCTTTCTGCGGAAATCATTAGTATCAATTAGTAATCAACTTACCAAATGAAACAGGTGGGCTGCATTAATTAAAGGGTGAACACATACATCATTAGTTTTGTAAATGTGTATTATCCTCTTAATGAATCTCAAACTATGTGTGTTCTGGATATGAATACAAACCTTTATGTTTGTGTGTGTAAACTACATGCATTTGACCAAGAATATGATTTCTAAATGTTTATCTGGCTGTGAAAAACATGTTATAAAATCATTTATTTACAAAAGGAAGGGTCCATGGATTATAAAGCTGTCATTGGCTATCACAGAGAAACACAAGGATCTAGTCTACTCCTCGCAACGAGCCAACAAAACATCTCTCTCTGATGATGCCAGGAGATGTCAAAAGTACCAGGTTAACTTGATACTAAAATTTCAAACCTATGTAAATGCTGTCTAACAGTACTGCTGCTGCGTGTCTACTATAATAAAATGAATCAAAACAATACTGACAGGAAAATTGTTTGTTTATTAATAATCAGCTTTATTAATGTTAACTTGAATAATTACGTAAAATATTTTTTAAACATTTTTTTTAAAGTCATGTTCAAGGGTGCAATTATTTGATGAAAACATAATAATAATAATGTTGTTAAATATTATTACATTTAGAATAACTGTTTTCTATTTGAATATATTTTTAAATGTATTCCTGTGATGGCAAAGTTGAATTTTCAGCATCATTACTCCAGTCTTCAGTGTCACATGATCCTTCAGAAATTATTCTAATATGCTGATTTAATGCTCAAGAAATATTTATTTTTTTGGGGACTCTTTGGTTAACAGAAAGGTAAAACGAACAGCGTTTATTTGAAACAAATATTTTGTAATACTGTCACTTTTGATCAATTTAATGCATCCTTGCTGAATAAAAGGATCAATTTATTTTTCAAATAAACTTTTAAATGGTAATGTACATTCCATTGTAATTTGTTAATTTAATTTGTTAACATACAAACTTTAAATAAAGAATTGTGTTGTGTTCATAAGATTGGTTGTTTCTGTGGTATTGAAAGTGTATCAAGAATAATTGTGGTACTGTGACAACCGTGACGAGGAGAGTCCAAGAGCGTAGAGAACACCATCTATCACACACACACACACCAGATATCTCTTTGATGTCCAGTAGGGAAAAACACTTGGATCAAAACTCCAGCTTTGTCCAACTAGTGTCAACTCCAGACCAATACTTGAGAATGTGTCACACTACTTAAACACTAAAACACATTCTCTTGAGGTAATTGCCTCATACACACACACAAACAACAACAAGACAGATATTCAACTGCAGGCTTTACAACATCCAACCCCCAGTGCAGTTTCGCCAAATCACACGTTGAGTAGTGACGTCGTCATCATCATCATGAGACTTGGCTGAAGAGTTCACAATGGCATATTAGCAAACTTATTTATAAGCTATTAAAATAACATACTTGTTAGGTTACTAATCATGTCTGATTTGTCATGCTTACAGGCTGATAAATCTCAGTTCATCTCCTTGATGGGATGTATTAGGAGTGTTTGTGGTGATCTCAACCACTGTGCTTTGGGCCAGAGGATCATTTGAATGAGCTCATTACAGCTGTGATTTGAACAGGATTTTTTACTCCCTGCAGTAAATAAACCGAGATCAGGCGGATGGGATGGAGAGAACAAATACTCTGAGGAGAGAAAGGATCTCTGAGTGACTCTTAGTTGTAGGTTGTTAATACCAAGTATAAACGGGTCCAGTGAGCAAGGCGCAGAACAAGGCAACGTCTCATGATGAGATGAATCCAAAGGTCAAGGGGAAGGTACCATCTATACACATCTAACTTTTTATGGTAAACCAGGGACTAAATGTAAAGCTGTCATCACACCGAGAGGTTCTAGACCTTTAAAAAGCAAAAGTATTCATACTCACACCATCCTCTTCTCTTTGGGGGGTCAACCGGTTGTACACTGCTTCAATAACACTGTGCCTGAGAAAAAGAAAAAGCAGACAATGTATTAGAAAAATAAAACAAGGCATACAAGTTATACAGCAAGATTCAAAGTCAAGCTGTTTTCTGAGTCAAGCCTACTTGAGATTAAACCTGCAAATGTTGTGTTAACATTCCAGACCCTTAAACATTAGGTGCGTAACCCTGTGTCCCGTAAACGTGTTTGTGCAGGTGTGAACCTCTGTGTGGTTTGTAACCGTGATATTTACTTACTTGCTGGCAAGGCCGCCCCCTGGTGGGAGATTAGGGATACTTTCTTGGGACAGGGTGCTCATGACAATCAACAGCTCAGGCACACCTTCTTCCCCTGCTTTCTCTATGAGCTCTGATTAAGAGACAGAAAAGATAAACCACAGGTTAAAGCACCCTAAATATTCATTTGACTGCTCCATTCAATGGAATCTTAAAATATACGCAGTAGAAATTAATGTATATGTGACTTACTGTATATGTGTACTGAGAAATGAGCAGTGCATTATGGATACCAATGTAGAGCACTAGTGTTATCATTTTTTTGTTTTGTTTTTTGAAATAGAGAAATGAGAACGAAAGAAAGAACAGGGACAATGAGAGACAAGAGTGAGACTCTAGAAGGAAAGCCTGTGGCTCAGTTGGGCTGATCTGGGCCTGTTGCCAGTTAGATGTTCAGCCAGCACATTCCTCACCAGAGCAGTAGTGCCGACGACTCCCTCAGGCCCTCTCAGCACCCAGCCAAACATTACAACAACGTTACCCCAACCTTTGCCCACAGCTCAAGGCCAAAAGTTTACATAACCCCAAAAAACCCACAAAACTAACAACCACTTGCCAGAATATGATCAATGTCCAATACAGAAAGGAAAGGCCAGTGGAAAAGAAAAAAGTAAAAAGATATTGAGTCAGGCTATCAAGATATTTTAAACTAGAAAAAGAGGAATATGAAAGGGGGTGGATACAGGATGTTCAAGATCACAAGAGAAGGTGTGATGGAAAAGGACATTTCTCTTTAATAAAATGCATAAATTCTGAAATTAATTTATCTGGACTGATATACAGTGGCCTTAAATATTTGGAAGCTTAAAATATATCTAAGCAAGTGGCATGTGCTAAACAAAAAATGCTTTTAGTTTCAAAAACTAACTTCATACTTTACTTGTTTTCAGTGATTTCTGCAGAGAAAAGGACGGACTGCTCTTGGCAAGATAACTTCACCGTATACTATTTAGGAATAATAGTATTTTTTCAATATAGAGTTACCAATTTGATTCAGTTACACAAACTCTTGATTCAATTCCAATTTAGTTTTATTTGGGTATATTTCAGTTATGTCCATTTTGCTTACAATGAAAAAAAAATTCTCTGTTATGCTGTAACTTACAGAGGGCAGCATTAAGAACCAGTTTTAGACTGATTCAATCTTTTTGAGCTATTTGTTCTTGAATATGACTACACTGGTTGAATTGTAAGCAAACACTAGAGGTTTTAAAGCTCATGCCCAGGGACAGATGTATGAATACTCCCAAACTACAGTGGACAAAATAGGTATCGTGTGGCGGACCACTGAGCTCTTCCGTTTCTCACCTTCCACACGCGATTCGAGGTACTTGTCCACCTCAGCATCTCTCTTTACCGCCTCCTCTGACACCTGGGGTGCATTTGGCAAACAGACTAATACAACACTCATATTATCTCGACTTCCCTGAAGGAGGAAAAAGAAAGAAAAAAGAAAATCTCAACTGAGAATAAAACATTTATGCGACATAAGAAGCTGTCCCACAAGAGCGAGTAAGGAACTGTACCTTGTGTAGACAAGTATCCACAACTTCGTTGCACACTCTCTCCAGGTCGTCCATCACCTCCAGCCTTGATCGCACAAAGGCACAAAGCTCCTCGTTGGTCATCACATCCCAGATACCGTCACACGCCAGCACCACAAATTCATCCTCCGCATCTGAACGAACTATCTCGAATACTTCTGGCTCTGGAGACACAAGCTGCTCTGTGGGACCCTTGCCCTCCACACACTTGTAGTCATAGTCACCCAGTGCTCGGGATACAGCCAGCGATCCATTAACCCTCTGGATCATTACAGAGCCACCTGCGTTCTGTATACGCTCCTTCTCCCGTGGGTCGCAGGGCTTATGGTCCAGCGTGGAGAAGCCGACGTGCGCGTTGCGGCAGAGAAGGGCCCGTGAGTCCCCGCAGTTAATGAAGTACAGATGTTCCGGAGAGAGCAGCACACCCACCGCAGTGGAACCGCTGCGGTCCATGCCGTTCCGCAGGTCTGTGAAACTGCGCATGTGCTCATCGATCCTCAGGAAGCCGGTGCGGATACCCCTTTTGACCGCCTCTATGGCTGGCGTCTCAGGCGCCGGAGCGCCCGCCTTCCGCAGTTCATCTGCCGACCCTGTGGCGACAATATGTTCCAACAGGTGTTTAGAGCAGTAGTTAGCAACACGTGAGCCGGCGTGACCGTCGTAGACCGCAAAGAAGGACCAGTCGTCCAGACCGTGCGGCAGGCCTACGGCTGCGGTGTGGGCATCCTCCATCTCCACCCTCCATCCCTGCATGCTGCTGAGGCCAAAACGCAGGCCGTTTCCCTCTCCATGAGCATTATGCTTCTCTGTTTTGGGCTTGTCCAAGAACGCCCCCATGGCTTAGGCCACCGTCTGCAGAGACAAAGAAACAATCATTGAGTAGGTAGACAAAAAACACTGAAGACAGTACAAAAAAAAGACATGGAAATTGCAGCACAAAAGAAACATATGATCTCTACAGCTTAAATGCATTAGCTAACATTAAGCATCCCCTGCATCAACTCTGTAGCGCCACACCAATAGAACTACTTCAGACATGAAGATTAAAAGTAGAGGGGGAAAAAACCCAGCACATACAGTCCAAAAACACCCACTGCAGAGTGAACAACACAAATGTGGAAGGATTAGTCTTAGTGCTCAATAGACGATTTCTATTAACACCAAACTGAGTGAAATAAACATGTAGAGATTCTTGGCCCTGAAGCCACAGAGTGGGCGTAGCTTCTGAAAACCAAAAAACTGCAGCCCAGATAATCCAATTGCCTGTGCAGGGATGCATTACTGCTATAGCAGTGTACCCCCACTGCTATTCAAGTGTTAGCCACAGAAAAATACATATTACACTGCTCTGTAGTGCTGCTTCACTCCTGAGGTCAATCAAGTTGCTAATTAATCAAATTCTGCGGTCAAATATTGATAGATGTGTAATAAGGTGGAAAATGTACATACATTAAGCTGTCTATCACCACAAAATAGTAAAAAGTAAACCCCTCGACTTAAGGGTTTGTTTTGTGATAACGACCGACTGACTGTACATTATGCCTGAAACATTTTAGCTGACTGAACTGTATGTGATGAGAGAGAAAGACTGGGAGCCTCAAAATAACACTGACAAGTAGTCAACTACATTCCATTATGTTGTACGCACTGACTGCACAAAAATGCATATAGTAAAAGATTTATTAAATTCACAGATTTATCACGGTATTGCCTTATTACGGTATTACATTACAAAAACCGGTTTAAATTCATTGTACCCAAAGTCGAACACTCTTCAACGCTTGGCGACTGTTGAAAAGAAACGCTGAGCGCTCAGTGTTTCACCGTGAAATAGCATTACATAACATTACGCTCCTGGCGAAGCGGTCCCATTGAAAACAATTGGAAAAATACGATTTGGTGGACACACAGCCTTACTTTTAGGCCTACCTGAGGAACTTAAAGCACTGTGTTTACTAATTTTTTATGTTTATTCTTAAGTATTTATTTGTGCTAATTTGTTTATTTTTATCACTAAGTGTTGATGTCTTTTTTGGAAAGTCAATTCAAAGTTTGAAATCAGGCTCCTGTGTAAGCTTTGCAAAAAAATTAAAAAATACCCTATTGTAAAAGCAAAAAATGCATTGCATGATCAAACATTTAGGTGAGATAATTTAATTTTTAGGTGAGATAATATCAACACAAACAGTATAAAGGTGAAGCATTTAAGATGTTTTTACTGTGTCCCTACTAGTGTTGTCGTTCTTCTGTGATCGCCTTATTCATTAACATCAGTAGTATAAGTGCCACTGAAGTGACTGTAGAGATTAAACTTCTCCCCCAGCAGGAAAATAGGATTTGCTCGCACCTCTTAAGACTCAAGTCAAGCTGTGACATGCATCTGTCTGGACTATTTCTACTTTCCAGATGAATCACACTAGACCGTGGACACACAAATCTGATCTTTTTTTTTTTTTTTATCAAAACCGAATTCTGCTCGTCTGTTGCTGAGATGAGGCAGCTTGTTACTGTGGTGAGTAATATCTAAATGAAGCTCCATCCAGAACCTACGTACCAATGCAAAACCAAACATGCTAAGAAACTGGTCAGATTCAGTGAGGACGAGACAAACTCAAGGATCTATTTACAGGGTAGAATGAAAGTGACCCTATTTACTCATGCCACGGTGACCTCTGTATCACAGGTTTAATCCAACAGTGCTAGCAGTGTTCTGGAACTCAGAGCTCACAGTCAGCCAACGGTGAAAGGAGGTCACCCTGCCAGATCAGTCACACGACAGCTCTTTTTGTCCACAGGTTACAGCTTCAATTCTCAGCAAACATTACATGAGTACCGGTACACAAATGTATAACAATTCCAAGTCCATTCGAAATGGGGACAAATAGGTTACTTCCACTGTGAAAATTTGACTACTGCACTGTTCTGCACAAGCAATCCAGGTCCACACTAATCAAACTAACATGCAAGTATTGTTTTTCCAGCAGAGCAAACAACCTTTTATAGTTAAAGCTTTAACAACATGTTGTTCAATGAATAAGCAGTCAGTCATTTCATTGATTTAAACCTTACGTAACACGGTAAAATCTCCTGGTTCAATTTAAGTTGGGAATGACAAAGCAAGGGCTTGCAGTACATTCAGTTTATGGAGTTTATTCAATGATTCATAAGACTGATTCAAGCCAGTAGCGATGCAACGATATGAAAATTTTGTCTAATAACGATAACCGTTCTTTCTTAATATTTGAAAGCCGATAACCAATATATTGGTCGATAAATCTAAATCCAAATTTTTATATCATTTTTGAGAGCTTAATTACAAAAACAAAAGTCTCAATTAAAAGCCATGTTTCAAGCACACAATTATAATGTTCTCATTATAACTATGTAACCTTTATTGCTTTTTGCAATGCAAATGATGCACTTTACCGTATTTTCCTTTTTTTAAGTGATTCCAATCATATTTCAAGCAGTTCAAACCCATTATGGTGAACAGTGCACATCTGAAGTGTCTCAGCTGAAGGAAATCCATTATTTATTGGCTTTAATATTGACCAAATTTTCTTATTGGGCCAATAACGATTACATTAAAAATTAGAGCCCGACCGATATGGATTTTTGGGGGCCGATGCCAATACCGATATTAGGGAGTAAAAAAAGCCTGATACCGATATATCGGCCGATATTATTTATGTGTATATTATAATACAGTAGCAATATTATTTATGTGTATTATAGTACAGTATACCAGTCAAAAGTTTGGACACTTTCCTATTGGTGTGTACAAACTTTTGATGGGTACTTTACACAGTAGCTATAAACAGAATAAATATATTTTATAAACACGTTTTGCAATGATCACTCAAATGTGGTGATCAAACACTTGTGTGACACAGATATGTAATGGAGGCAGGGGGAATGATAGAATTAGATTTATACAGTTGAGCTGTAACCAAACTAGTTTGCATGGCATATTATATTATATTATATTATATTCTAAATACTGTTGCATAATCTTCACTAACGACTTTGTCTTTTAATTAAGTCATAACTTGTATCAATAAATATATAAAAAGTGTCACTGACAAAACCTTATTATCTTCTATTTTTACTCTTAATTCCTCTAATCTCTACCAGTGGAGGAAGAACTCAGATCTTTTTACTAAAGTAAAATTAATAATATCATAATGAAAACGTTTTTAATTACATATGTAGCCTACAGTACTTTTATACTATTTTAAATAATTAGTAAGCAAAATGTACTAAACGTGAAACAAGGCTACTCTTAATGCAAAATGGCCATACATAAAGTGTTATAATTATATACATTTTTGGAATATTGCTTGATGTTGTAACGTAGCGGTATCAGGCAGAATGAGCTTTAACACGGTGTCTACACCGGACGCGGCCGTTACTGCTCGCGTCGCAAGAGCTGTTTACCCTAGACAAAGCAGAATCAGTTTACTGTCGGAGATCGCTCGCTTCGCATTTTAATCAATGTTTCATCAACCAATTGCCTTAATAAATAAGAAGTAAATATAGCAGACAATATAATCAGGACTTCTCAGCTGCGCGCTTGCAATAGTCACAAGCTCACACAATACGTGACAGAGGCTTGTAGCAGAGAAATCAATTCTGTGAATTACACTGCGCAAATCACAAGTAGGCTACTACCCACCGGATGAAGAAGGGTTGGCTCTCAGTCTCCACAGGCTACATAAAATATTCATTTTATTTTATTTTATTTTTCGTGTTCGCATTTATGAGGAAAAAACAATGTTACAGACGCGACAGTTCAGCACTACGGACGTGAGCGCTCTGAAAGCGGCACTAAAATATGCTTTGAAACTTTCACATAGACATCAAACAGAAAGCACAAAACCTTTCGTTTCACAGTGAATTTCGTTTTGAATTAATTGTATCTTAATTTTAATTAATGTTTCATCAACCAATTGCCTGGATTTAATATATAAGAAGTAAATAGCAGACGATAGATAATCTCGACACGGAGGCGCCTGCGGGTGAACTGGAGCTCGTCTCATGAACCGAAACTCAGCGTATAGACCTGAGAATTGAAATATATCTATATTGATATGTCTACTTTTAAACAGAACAATTCAAAACGAAAGACAGACAGACTCATGTAATCGTATGAAATGTGCATTTCTCTCTGGCACGCGTTCACTGAAGATCGCGAGTCAGCATCGTCAACTTCATCTTTGGCTGACACTGACTGAAAACACTTGTTTATTAATAAACAATTAAAATGTCTCCTTGCTATATTTGTTGTATTCATAATCATTACTTTTGCCAGTTCTTGTGACAGCTTTTAGGTGCTTTATTGGCAGCGCCACCCTTACATGAATCATCGCACCCGCATTTTTTAAAATATTTATTTATCGGCCATTATAAATGCCGATACCGATAGTTAGGAAACTGCCTAAAATCGCCGATATATCGGTCGGGCTCTATTAAAAATGAACACATATCGGCCGATACCGATATGGTGGCCGTCATATCGTGTATATCATATTGTATATGAATGGGTCATAGAATCTTTGACTCAACTGATTCGTTCAAAACACTGAATCGTTCAGTAATGAAACACGGAACATGTTGCTGTGAGATGTGCTATGGTTCTGCTGCTGTGATCTTTATTGTGGATCCAATCAAGAGGATTATTGCATGATCAAAGTGCAAAAGCGTCTAGATGACACACAAATCCTGGTTATTGCTATACCCCGCTATTGCTCAGCAAGCTGCAAGTATGCAATGATGTCACATAACAGCATGTCTGAGCGTCTGAGCTGGCCACACCTCACGCCTACTGCACTATAAATAAACCCAGATAGGAT